CACCCCCCTCATGGGAGAGAAAGCGAGGGAGAGAAAAGAAGTGGCGATCAACTGACTAGACGCTGTGCCACGTGGAGTTTCCAGATCAGGTATTTCCACTAGAGGAAGAAGTTGAAGTTTTGAGCCGATGGGACCGAAGCCAGCGTACCCCATAACCTTCGACCACCGGTTATTCAAAAATGCGAATGGTTGGTGAAAGGGAAGAGACAGGAGACCAGTTTGCTTCGAATGTGGAGCCGAAGGACATGTGTGTTGGGAATGCCCAAGAATGGATTATTCCTGGGTAGGACAACACTCAAAGACCATGCAGATTCAAGGATCAGAACAAGATGGCTAGGAGGTGGTAGTGTGGGTGAATGGGCAAAGGAAAAAGGCCTTGGTGGATACGGGATGCGGAAAGACTCTAGTACAGAGCCTGGAGGGAGTAATGTTGGATGAAAGCCTATTTGTAAAATGCATTCATGTGGACTCTAAAGTGTATAAAATGGCTTGGGCTGATATAGAGATTGGAGGCGAACATAGGAGGTTGAAAATAGGAGTAGTACCAGGATTGTCAAGAGATACATTGTTAGGGAGAGATTGGGTAGGAACTCACAAGTTGTTGCAACTAAACGAAGGTCTGCAGGGGGAATGTGAAGAACAATGGATTTCAATGAGGGAAAAAACAAAAAATCACCAAAAATTAACGAAGACTCAGAAGAAAGCCAAACTAAGTGTGCATAGGTTTCACAAGGTGGACTAACTATTCCAACCATTTAAAACATGTTCCAAACATTGTAAGATACTTACAAATGAGCGAAAATGGACATCGGAAAGGGCTTCCTTCAAAAGCACTGAAGTCCAATGGATTTCAATGAGGGAAAAAACAAAAAACAACCAAAAATTAACGAAGACTCAGAAGAAAGCCAAACTAAGTGTGCATAGGTTTCACAAGGTGGACTAACTATTCCAACCATTTAAAACATGTTCCAAACATAGTAAGACACTTAAAAATGAGCAAACACAGACATCGGAAAGCCATTCAAAAGCACTGAAGTCGGCTTCAGTGCTTTTGAATGGCTTTCCGTTGGGGAAACATTGTTTCACTTAGCGATGTTTCCTATGGGGATTTTCGCTTAAGGACGTTAATCCGTTCCCATTGGAACGGATTAACCGGTTTTCAATGCATTCCTATGGGAAATGGAGTTTCACTTAACAATGTTTCCCATAGCGATGGGTTTTTTGGAACCAATTAAGATCGTTAAACGAGGCACCACTGTATAATCATGAGTCTCAGAGTCATTTAGATCTCTCAGAACTCAGGAAAATATTGGACTCAAGGTAGCTTAGTTCGTGGCCTAAAAGAAATCAAATTAATTATGGTAGCAGGTTGTCTGTTCAAGAGATCAAACATAAGTTCTTAAGTATAATTGTTTTATTAGAAAAAGATTTAGAAGAATTCAGTTTATTGCAAAAGCATAGCAGTCAAAATCATTTCCATTTCTAAGCAGTTAGAAACTTAGCAGACTCCAGCTACAAAAATAAAATAAGAAAATTACTAAGAAAAATAAGTAAAATAGGTAAGGCCAAAGCCCTCCTTCTATCCTCTTACTAAGAACTACATCCTAACTGATGTCTGGAACTCCAAAGTCCATTCAAGAATCCATAATCCAAAGCAATGTGCAAAAAGTCACAAAGTCCTTCTAAAAATCCATCAGGCAAAAAGTCTCTCTCTGTCTCAGCAATCCTCCATTTTCTCTTCTCGTACTGGAAACCCCCCTCCTTCCTCTTCACTGTTTTTAACCAATCAGGACAAAGGAAAAGTTGTCTCTCTCTCTCTCTCTGCCTTTCTTTCTCATGGAACTGCAGGTGTTATTTACTGTTCTCTGCTGGAATGTTTTGACTCCAGTAGGTCTTCTGCCGTCGTCCCCTAGTTACGAGATAACATTGCTAGCTGCTGTGAAGAAAACAGCA